CTATTTTCATTCACTGAAAAACCTAAGAACATTCTAGGCCCCCAGGGCATGATTAGTAGCTCACCCCAAGCAGCAAGAAAAGGACCAGAAATGCAGCAGTCTTCCCCAACGTGGCCACCTCTGTTTTCCCCACCTCAGCTCCCCACTTATTGAACACTGAAGCCCCATAGAGCTGCTTCCCACTTCTCCCAGGGGCTGAAAGCCTTTTCACTTCCAGCCTCTGCATGTGAGGTAGCCCTTGCCAGGTACCTGGTTCCCCTGCCTGACTATCCCTTATCCCGAATGCACCTTGAAATCCTCCAGGCTGTAGCTGAAACAGCTCCTCTGGGAAGCCAGCCAGCTCTGGATCCCAGGTTGGGCCAGGTGCCCTCCCTAGGGGCTGCCTCTGTGTCTTCTCCCAGCAAGACAGGATAGCACAAGGGTCCAGAGACTTGGGCACCATTTACTCTAGCTTGGGGCAGGCTCCACCATGAGCCAGCAGAGTCCCTGCGCCTTGCTTTCCTTGCTTGTAAACTGAGGACAAAAACAGCTATTCCCTTGGGGGTCGCCTCAGAGATTGCCCAGGGTTACATGAGAATGTGCTTGACACAGTCCCGGTGGAAAGTTGTCCTGAGTAAGGTCCTTCTCAAGCTGAATTTCAGCAGGACATGAAATGCTGTCTTGTCTGGGCCTGGCACAGTGCTTGGAACCTGTGGAACATGGCCCCTGAGTGGTGGCAGGGATGGCATACTGTGACCCATGCTGCCTCTCTCCTGGGCTTGCAGCCCACTTTCCTGGGGGTTCCAATCAGGAAGCTGTGGGTGTTCCCAGCCAGCAGAGGGGTCTATGAGAAATGCCTCTAAGCAAATGCTGGTAGAAGAAGTCAGGGTGAGCTCTGTGTGGGGCGCCTCATGTCTCCTCTGGACTTCCATCTAGCAGGGGTCATCTCAGCAGTTATCAGGCAACTCAGCTTTTCCAAGTTAGACAAGAGATTCCGAGAAAGACTGAGAGCAAGAGAGAGCTAGAGATGACACTGAAAACTCAGAGACCAGGACCCAGAAATTCAGTCACCATGGGAGAGACACTGGAGTGACAGGGACAAGGAGTGAGTGGATTCCACTATGGCCTCAGCCATAGCCACGCCACAGCCAGGTAGCTACAGGACCCACAGGAACCATGGCTTCCATACTGACTCCAGCCCACCTAGAGCTTTCCAAGGAGGGATGACAATACTCTGTGCTTGGTGGTCTTTTGCAGTTGGCAAAGCTGTGTGACCCTCCTTTGACCTGAGAGGTTAGCAGGTAGGGGGGTCTAGCACCTCATCTGGGATGGAGGAGGTGGGCCCAGAAGAGGCAGGTGTAGCCTATGAAGCTGGTAGCCTGCAGAAGCTGGGAGCTGAGTTCAGTCTTCTCACACTGAGTCAATGCCTCTGGACTGTGTTTGTAAACTTTCTTTCACTGTGACAAAATACTGGAGAGAATCAACTTAGAAAGAAGAAAGGTCTATCTGTCCTAAGGACATCACATAAGTGCATGTGATTTTTTTCACTAAGTACAGTGTGTCCACAGTCCACCCATGTTGTAGCATGTATCTGAGTTTCATTCCTTTTCACAGCCAAATAAATATGCCATTGTATGGCCATGTTTTATATTCCCATGAGCAATGCAGAGTTCCAGTTTCTCCATATCTTCACCAATATTTGGTTTTTTTCCTTTTTGCGCTGCTTTTTTGTTTAAGTAGTAGCCATCCAAGTAAATATGAGATAGTGTCTCATTGTGATTTTGATTTGCATTTCTCTGATAACTAATGCTGACGTGTATCTTTCTGAGTGCATTTTGATCATTTGCATATCTCCTTTAAAGAAATATCTATTCATATTCTTAGCCCATTTAAAGTTGTATTGTTTGTTTTTGTTATTAATTTGCAAGAGTCTTTGATATATTTGGATTTTCACTCCTTGTCAGATATATGATTTTCAGATATTTTCTCCCATTCTTAGGTTGTCTTTTCACTTTCTTAATTATGCTCTTTGACTGGAAACAAATCTTATTTTTTTGAAGACCAATTCATTTCTTTTCTTTTGTCATCTGTGCTTTTGATGTTATAGCTATGGAATTGTTGTAAAATCTATTATCATAAAGATTTCACTAGACCTTTGATTCACTTTAACTTTTGTATATGGTGTGAGGTAAAGGTCTTTTGCATGTGGGTATCAAGTTTTTCTGGTGCTGTTTGTTGAAAATGATTGTCTTTTCATCACTGAGGAGCCTTGACGCTATTGTCAAAATCAATCAACTATATATTGAGGGTTTATTTCTAATCTCTCTGTTTTATTCCATTGGTCTGTATATCTGTTCTTACCTCAGTGACATTCTGTTTTGACATTGGAAAATGTGAGTTATTCAACTTTATTATTTTTCATATTCTTTTAGTTCTTTGGGGCCCTTAAAACTTACATGAGTTTAAGGATTTCCATTTCTGTGAAAAGAACTCCTGGAATTTTAATAGAAATTATGTGGTATCTTAGGGTCATTGTGGTTAATATTAACATCTTAATGATGTCAAATTTTCCTATCCATGAATATGGGATATCTTTCTATTTATTTAGATTTCTTTTTTTTCCCCCAGTGGTGTTTTGTAGTATTTTGTAGTGTTAGTGTTTTGTAGTATTTCATTTTTGGTTAGATTTATTCCTATGTATTTAATTATTTTAGATGCTATTATAAATAAAATTGCTTTCTTAGTTTTCTTTTCAGGTTATTCATTGCTAGTGTTTAGAAACACGTCTTTTTTTTCTTTTCCATGGGGCATCTAGTATACTACTACTACTGGGTTACACCCAGAAACACAATGATGTTTGTATGCTGATGTTGCATCATATAGCTTTGCTGGATTCATTCATTAGCTCTAGTATTTTTCTTATGGATTCTTCAGAATTTTCTGTATACAGAATCATGCCATTTGTGAGGAGAGATAGTTTCACCTCTGCATTTCCAATTTGGATGCTTTTCATTTTTTCTTGCTGTATAACTCTGGCTAGGACTTCTAGTACAACATTGAATAGAACTGGTGAGAGTGGAGATCCTTGTCTTTTTCTTAACCTTTGTGGGAAAGCTTTCAGTCTTGTACCATGAAGTATAATGATAGTTATCGATTTTCTGTAAATATCCTTTGTCATGTTGAGTAATTTCCTCTCTATTCCTACTGAGATAATCATGTGGGACCTCTGCTGTTCATTCCATTTCTATGATGTATTACATTGGTTGACTTTCATGTGTTGAAGCACCTGCTACAAATCCCACTTAGCCATGGTAAATAAGACTTTTAAATGCTATTGGATTCAATTTGCTACTTTTTTTTTTGTGGTATGGGTGATTGAGCCAAAGATCTTCACACTGATCTATGACTATAGCCCTTTCTTTATTTTTTATTTTAAGACTGTCTCACTAAGTCCCTAAGTTTCCCAGGAGAGGCTTGAACTTGTGATCCTTCTGCCTCAGCCACACAGAGTTCTGGAATCACAGATGTTGTCAAACATGCCTGACTCAATTTGCCTACATTTTATTGAGTGTTTTTATATCTATAAACAAGGGCTATTGGTTTCTATTTTTTTTCTTATAATGCCCTTATCTGACTTTGCCTGGCCTCATAGGATGAATAAAGAAGAATGCTATCCTCTTCAATTCTTTGGAAGTCTGAGGAGAATTTGTTAATTCTTTAAATGTTTGGTAGAATTCACCTATAAAGCCATTGGATCCAGGGATTTTCTTGGTTGGGAGATATTTGATTGTTGATTTTATCTCCTTACTAATTATAGCCCATCAAATTTCTCTGTCTTCTTGTCATGGTTTGGGTAATACGTGTGTTTGGGGGAATTTGTCCATCCCTTCTATGTCATCTAATTTGCTTATGTTCACTTGCTCATAGGACTTATTATCTTACAACTCTTGCTTTTCTGTAAGGTTCATAGCATTGTTCCCACTCTCCTTCCTGATTTTAGCTATTTTAGTAGTAAAATCTGGTGAATCTCTTTGCTCTAGAGATAAATAACCTGGACTTTACCCACTGCCATCACTGAAGACATGGTTGTTCCATTGGTCCATGTGAAGCTTGTTCCCACACTGGTCAGCCATGGCCAGGCCCAGGAATCTCTGTTAGGACTTGTTGGGTGACTTGAGGTGAACTTGCCCCCTCTTAATCCCTGTCTTCCTTATCTGAGGGAACCCTCAGAAGACTCTATGTCCCCTCACACACTGTTTACAAGATGGAGTGGTGGCCATCCTGGGAGGCCCACCCTATGAGGGGGAGATGAGGGACTCTTCCTGAGGAAGAGCCACCCAGCCCTGCTTCAGGCTCCCAGACCCTTCTCACCAAGCATGTCCTCCAGCTGTACGGAATCTAGCCATCCTGTATGATGGGTAGGGCTCATCCAGGACAAAGACACCCTCCTCAGGCAGTGAGCTCTCTGGTGGAACTTTGAGGGCCATGTGAGTGGGGCAAAGGTAAAATGCTTGTTCTTTTCAGGGATGACTAGATACAGGGCAAACCACCCAACACCCAAGAGCTGGCCATTATAGCCACATGACCTGCTTAGCAGGGCTAAGAGTCGTGTGTTTCCAGACAGGCTGCCTGCAAGGTAGGGACCTCCAGGGGCTAAAGACACATCTTCATGCCTTCCACAGGGCCCAGCTCTGTCTCTTTTCTTCCACCCCCTCCCCACTATGGTTCTTTATCTAGCGTCCCACATGGACACTGGCATAACGTCCCGAAACACACCTGCTATACAAATACTCATGTAGATGTTATAAAAGAAGCTTGGCAAATCTGAAGGGATATGGAACAGTTTAATAAGGCGGCTGGGATCCATTAAACCGTAGTCCCAGCCTCATCAGTGATTCCAGAATAAATTCCTGGGACTTCTACCCACATGGCCTGGAACATGGACTCCCAAACAATGTGTGGTTCGGCCACTCAGCCATACCTTCCCCTCCCTCTTCCCCCACATCTAAAACATCTTGCACTACCCCACCTGGCCCCCTGCAGGCTTTGATACCCTCCCCTGAGCTGGGCTTACATTCTACACCCATTGCTGGTTGATTCTTCTCTGATGTCCAAGTTCATCCATTCCTGAGTCTTCAGTCCTGGCATATGAATGAATGAATGAACGAATGAACGAGCAACTGTGAAATATAGAACTATAGGATAGTTAGAAGAACTGTCCCCTGGGACTCACCTGACTCTAGATATGAAAGAGGCCACGTGTCCACCCAAACTCCAGTGACCAGTCACATGCCCAGTCACCTAGTCAAATCCTCCCTCCTTGAGCATCTCCCCCAGAGCATAATGGAGGCCACTGGTTGTACTGTCTAGATGAAACCACATCTTCAAGGGCCTGCTGCCTTCTATGTCCACATGGTGGCTCAGGGCCCTCTGTGCTCTCTGGACACGGTGTCCACAGTCTGCTGAGTTGGACCCCACCTCTGCACAGAAAGAGGGAAGCCCCTCTGTCTGAGGCTCTATTGTAGACTCTGTGGTGGAAACAGCGAACAGGCCATTTGTGTCCCCCAGGTGGCCTCTCCCAGCTGACCTGTTCTTCTTTACTCTGAAACCTCCACTTCCAGTGAGATGTCTCTAGACAGGAAAGAGGGATATGCATGACCATCAAGTGGCTTCGTATTAAGAAAAAATAATGAGCTGATTACCAAATATATTGAGAAAATATCATATTTTTTTAAAAGACAGGTATATTGTTTATATACAAAAAGCCCTTACAAATTATTAAGATCAACAAGACACTAAATTACTGGATGAAAGACAAACAGGCTTTCCATAAGAAGTCCAAATGGCCAATAATTCCATAAGCTGTTCATTCTCACTACTAAGCCAAAAAAAGGCATTTTCAGTCATCATTGGCAGAAAATCCATTACCTGTGATGTTGGTGGTGGTATTCCCTTACAGTGCTGTGGGAATATAATTGCTACCAGCTTTCTGGAGGACAGTTTGGCAATAAGTAGCTAGTCTTCCTATCAAGCTTCCAGGAATTAATCCCAATGAGTCCCATAAATGGGGTGCACATCATGGCATTATCTGTAACTCCTACAGGCTGCAGCAGCAAAATCAAATAATTTATAAGCAATCTGCACAATAAAATGCTATTCAGCCACTAAAAATCACATTTCCTACTGAACCCCACAGGGAAAGCAATCACGATCTGTTAAATGAAAAAGCCAGAGACAACTGGAACAGTAACATGATCGTAATTATGTAAAATGAAATATGTCTGCATACCCATGACACATAAGAGTAGTGTCCTGGGCCAGCATTAAATGGACATTGGGTTCGGGCAAGCTTTCTCTTGCCCCAGATTTCCCAAGTTTCTTATCACAAGCGTGAATTGCACTAAGGTTGGTTTCATCAATTTTTCAAACGCTGTTTCACAATGTACTGTTAGACTTACGGTACACATTTAATGAAGCAAGTGGTAATTAGATAAACAGATGGACTGATCAATTGTTAGATGGATATATTATCTATGGGTAGAACACAGGAGGCCATTTTGTTTTCTTCATTAAATTTTCCCTATTTCCTGGATTTCCTCCATCGAAATATTGCTGTTATAATCAGCTAAAGAAAAAAAAATATTTTTAGTAAAAAAAAACAAGTTCCTTGCTCCTCTCTGGATTTTCTCAAAAATACAAGACACTTCTCATAGGGACCCACATGTCTAACTTGTCAATCCTTTAACCCAGGGCCCCTTTAACCCTGGGACTGCCTTCTAGGGCTCCTCGTGTGGATGTTAAAGGTGTGACCCAAGGAAAACTGGAAACTGCACTCAAACCATCAGCTGAAACTGTGGGATCCTATGGGGGAGCTGGGGTGATGGAATCCACTTGCACTGACAGATGTCTGGATGTACCAATCTGCAGGGCAAACAGGTTGCAGAAAAACACAGCTAGACCGATCCCATTTTAAAACAGCCTGCGCATGCCTTTGTGTGCTTCCGGGCAGAAATGGAGGAAAGAGAGCTGGGAGAATGTTCCAGGCGCTGTCTCTGAGGGGTGGGTTTTGAAGGTATTTGTATTCTTTCTACGTTTTTTTTTTTTTTTTTGTTTTTTTTTTTTTTTTTGTTTTTTTTTTTTTTTTTGTTTTTTTTTTTTTTTTTGTTTTTTTTTTTTTTTTTGTTTTTTTTTTTTTTTTTGTTTTTTTTTTTTTTTTTGTTTTTTTTTTTTTTTTTGTTTTTTTTTTTTTTTTACAATGAGCTCTTGTTATTTTTGCATAGTGTAATAAAGCTGCTTTACAAAGCAGTTAATTTTTAAACACATGAAAGCTCTAACTCAATTTAGATTCAAGAAGTCGCTTCCCGGAGAGCAGGTGGGCAGGTGGAGAAGAGGCAGCCCCCAGTCCTCTGGAGTAGTGGCAGATAGGGACGCTAGTCCCTCCCTAGCCACTGGAGTGGGCTACCAGTCTGGCCCCAACCCAACGGACCACTTAGCCAGCGGGGACCAGCAGCTCTTTCTGCAGATGACACAGGGAGACCTGGGGAGGGGTGAGGGTGGAGACCCACGATGGCTCCTCCTCCGTGGCCAGGGTACAGATGTGGGCCCAGCTTGGTTCTGCTCTCAGCACACCCTCGACTCCATGGCACCTGCTGTGACCAAGCCCACCGTGCCTGGCCATACCTGAGCTGTCTCACCTGGGCCCTGAGACTGCTGGAGGTGCTGGAACGGATGCACACCCAAGCGCAGGAAGGCGAAACTTTTCAAAAACACATTCTGCAATTTCAGACCACAGTGACTACAGGTTCCATTTCCCTCTCTGTGTCTCTGTCTGCCTCCATCTGTCTCTTTTCTCTGTCCCTGGCTCTCTAGCTCTGTCTTTGTCTCTCTCTCTGGTGCGCTTCCTGTCTCCCCTCTGGTCCTTGTGGCTTCTCTCTTTCTCCTCTCTGATTCTGTCTTTCACACATACTCATCTGCTTTTGCTAAACTACAAAGACCCGGCTGTATTGGACCCGGCTTTCCCTTTGTTGTGTGGATTTGGGTACCACGTAAGACTCTTTTCCCCCTTTAAAAGAGCTGTGGTGACCACTGTGGGCTGTTGCACAAAGTATAATAGGTGTGCTTGCCCCTCTAGCTGTCCCCAGAGTCTAAAGGGCACCTGGCATGCGGTAGGAGCATAACACACATCACAGAAGTACTGAGCTAAGAACTGAAAGAGGCAGCTCTACCTTCCTGCCCACTACATGCCAGGCAGCCGCAGGGACACCGTGACACAGCTGGTCCTGGCTGCTGAGCTTTCTTTCCTTCAACTGTTCACTGGCCATAGCACCCTTGACACGCAGATCTGGCCCTGTGGGTCTCTGGTGTTGCTGGGGCGGAGGAAATCTGAGGCCCCACATCCTGCCCTGGGTCCAGATGGCCTTGTGGATTCCAGAACTTTCTACAGTGGCCAGGCACTGGCCAGGAAGCGGAAGGTGCAGAAATAGAAATGCACCGAGAGGCAGTTGCTCTTTTTGCCTTGCAAGGAACGGAAGTGGGGCCTGGAGGCCAGGGAGGAAGCTGGGTTGGGAGCAAAGGAGAGGACAAGGGCAGAGTCCAGGAAGGTGGGCCTGGGGTCCCAGAGTCCCAACCCCCCAGCATTATCTACTCCAATGCCCAGTAGTCCCAGCAGGAGTTAGGGTGCAGCGCCCAACACCCCTTTCCTCATTACAAAGTTGCAGTGTAAGGAAATCTGCTTTGCTCCGGATGTAATCTCAAGCCCGGACACCAGGCCCTGCAAAAGTATTTACAGCCACTTCCAAGGACTAACTAACTCTAAGTACCAGGTACTGGGGTGGGGCAGTGCCTTCAGTGGGCCAAGGGTTGACAGTCACACAGCATTCACCATTTAGCCACCCCATGAAGCAGGTACGGAGGGGAAACTGAGGCTTAGGGAAGCTGAGAAAGTCACTGATGGTTGCACAGTGAATAGAGCCCAAGTCGGCTAACTCTAAACCCCTAACCACACCCTTCCCAAGACTGTTGGTTTGGGCAGTGAGAACAGGAGTGGGGATGGATTTGGGGGCAGTGGCGGGCCAGGGTCTGGGGCCTCCAGACCGGTGTGGTAACCTGGAGTTTCTGGGTGGTTTGGCCTCCAGGACTTCACTGGGTGCCTCCCCCCAAATTTGGGCTCATTCAGAACAGCTTCCCACACCCCTAACCTACCAATGCCCCCAAGCTTCCTATTTTCACAGGAAGCAGCAGGGCCAAGGGTCCATACTCTGTCCTGCCCCAAAGACACTCGGAAGAGCTGAACCTTCTTCCTGCCTCTCCCAGGGAGACCTGAACTTCAACAGCCAAGCTGACTTCCAAGCCTCTGGCGCCTTCCAGGGGGAAGGGGACACCGATGCATGTGGCCAGGGAGGTCCTGTCCCTGCTCTGGCCTCCCTTGGTCTCTGGCAGCTCTACTGGAGGCTATAACCCTGGAAGACGGTAATAGAACACATTGCCACTGACGTGGCACTGTCCCACCCTCCTACCCCACACCCATAGCACCTCCAGAAGAACCAAGTCCCTGGTGACCTGCACTTTCCACAGGAAGGGCTTTGCCTGGAAGAGCCACAGCAGGGAAAGGGGCCCCCAGGCCCTCCTAGTTCCCTACATAGAAGCTTCTGGGCCAGCAGCAGAGGAGGGGCTGGCATTCGAGACCTTCTCCCTCCAGCTTGTGTTAGCATCGGAGAGCTGGGCCTGTTTCCATCTGTACCTCTTGCTCCCCTTTGCTGCATGGCCTCAGACAAGCAAAGCAACCTCTCTGGGCCTTCCTTTCCTGTTCTGTAAGCGACAGAAACACACCTACCTCTTGCAGAAGATGGCTGAGCTCCAGTGCTTGACCAGAGACAAAGATTTACAAGATCTGAGGGCCAAATGATTTCCTCACATGACACTTTCAGGGGTCTCTGATTCTTTGTCCTGGTCCACTGTGCAATTCTGTGAATTATTCTCTCTATCTTCACTTTCACCAACAGCCCCCTGAGAGTACAGACTTGGCCCCCAATCACCCTGCAACTCTGGGACCCCAGAAAATATGGGGCTTTTAGTGGGTGCTCATGAAAAACTGTTGATTGAAGGACTGAGTGAGGGAGTGAGTTGTGGCCAGGCCTTTTCCTCAAAAAGTCTTGCTTCTGGAGGATGGGGACCTTACCTGGAGGGTACACATGTTGGACAGCCATGGGCACAGGAAGACAATGAGGAATGTGAGTGTGTGGAGAGGAGACCTGAGTCCCAGGGAACCCAGGGCCATCCCCTGTCCCACCCAGCCCAGGCTCCGCTACATAATGTTGGTGGCAATCCAGGCCCCACAGGGCACAAACTGACTTGTGTTCATGGAGACCTGGGCTTCACTTGTGTTGTCACACAAGGGACATTGCTTGCATCACTTAAGCCTGGGAGGGCCCCCTCCACTGCCCTAACCCACATCTCCTGCCTCTAGAGCAGGAGGGGTCAGGCAGGACACTACTGTCCCAAGACTGGGCTGAGCACTGTTCAGCTTGTGGGGCTGTCAGGGTCCCTCCAGGCAGTGCCCAGACACCCACCCAACCTCAGGAGAGCAGCTGGAGAGGCCCACTACTCTGGGCTGGAGCTCCCACCTTCTGCACAGCCCATTTCCTGGTGGGGCAGATAGGACCCCTGGCCCTTGGCTGGTCCTGTACCTAAAGGTGTGTGCAGCTAGGGCTGTCTTGGGGCAGCAGGTGTGCAGTCAGCAAGGCCTGCTCTTCCCTCACTCTCAGGGTGAGCCAAAAGAGGAGGAGGAGAAAGAAGAAAAAGAAGTGACTGGCAGTGCTCATACTCAGAGGCCATCTCCAGGGTGGCCCTGCCGGCTGGGGTTCTATCTTGGGGATCACTGGGTGCTCTCTAGACCTTGGGGAAAGAGAATAATGGGGGCCCGTGCAGCAGCAAATGGGGGTGATGGACAAACTCTCTAGGCACGGTCACCCTTGGGGGGGTCAGCACTCTTTCTCAACACTAACCAAGATGCTGTGCTGTGGGCCCAGCTCCAGTGGCAGAGGCTCCTTCTCTTGGGGCCTGAGCGGGGCTATGATGGTTCATTTTGCTATTCAACTTGACTGGCTTGAGAGATGCCTAGGAGATTGGCAAAGGGTATTTCCAGGTGTGTCTGGGTGGATCATGGTGATAGGACCTTGGGGGCCATATCTGGCCTTTGATGCCTTTCATGCTGTCTCTTCCTCTGCTCTCTGCTTTCCAGCTGTCATGAAGTGAGCAGCTTTATTGTATCCAGCCCTCTGCCATGATGTTCCTGCCTCGGACCCAGCCCACCATGGACTGAACCTTCTGAAACCATGAGCCAAAATAAACCTCTCCTCCTTTCAGTTGCTGATGTAGGGGTTTTTGTTTTGTTTTGTTTTTTGTCTCAGCAATGGAAAGATGACCACCAATACAGAGGTCTGGGAAGACAGAGCAGACCACAATCAGCTCAAGTCAAAATGCAAATAAAGAGTTCAGGATGCACACCAAATACCAAATTAGGTGCTAAGTCCATCAAATATTCCCAAAGTTCATATTCCCAAAGTTCTCTTTCTCTCTCTTGGAAATTCTAAAAAAGAAAAAAATTACGTGATGCATCTTCTAAAATAGCACATGCTTTTCCGTTAATCAAGAAAACCCGAGCTCATGCCTGGCTGCAGTGGTTCATTTTCCCTCATCTTATTGTGCAAAGGAATTTGAGACAGGCTGCCACATTCAGAGGCAGGAAGGGAGCATGAAAAGTTCAAAATTAGCATTTCCCCAGACTCCCTTTCAGATTCAAGGACGAAAACAAACTCCATCTTATAGCTCCTCTTTCTTGCTAGGATCTCAGGGGTTTTATTAGTACAAGTCCCATTTTATGGCTTTATTTCCCAGTAAGTTGAAAGACCAGGGTTTGATTTCACCCTGGCAAGGTCCTAAGAGCATGGTTCTGAGTGGACCCCTTTTCGTCCCTCCCAGCTCGCCTCTTGGGGCCTGGCTTCCGTAGGCATCCATGGCGAGATCAATGTACCAGCTTGAGAGAAATGAAGGAGTCCGACCCATCACAGGTGATATACAGAGCCAGTGCCTGTGGGTGGTAATGCTCCATGGGGCTTCATTTAGCCCGAACACAGCCACTTCCTCTCCTCTCACCACCGGGGACAGGCCACGCTCCCTCCAGGCCCCAGACAAAAGGGTCTCTTAGATGCTTACATATTTCCCACATGTGAGCTAGCAATTGGAAACTTCCTCCTGATCACTACAAACTTCAGAATGGGGATTTATGAGAAGGGGACTCAGGTGACTTTGCAGGCAGCTGAGGCCCAGCCAGGCACACAAGGCAGGTCTTTCATGGTGTGTGCTGATCAGAGGGGTCCCCCGGGCCCACCCGCAGATCAAGGTGGTCTGGTGATCAGGAAGGTGGTCTGGGTAGCACACAGGTACGGGGACAATGCCAGGCAGCCGGAGGAACAGCCAGTGCCACTCTGCCACCCTATGAGCTGTTTATTATTTGGGACTGGAGGCCAGAATACACCCCATGCCTGGTCCACCTGCAGCAGCCTCTGTTGGGGCTCTCTCTCCCAAGGACGTGCTTGCTATTTCTGGTCACCTAGGTCTCTGTCCCTTCTGCCTGGGAGGGTTGTGGAGGATGGGGAGCTGCCATCAAGCTGGAACTGTCCTATCTCCTTGCTGCGGGACTGGGGGCCCCAGAGGATTTTGTCATCTAATGCTGGAGCCAGTGACCACATGAAACATGACTGGTCTGCATGGGGAGGAGCTGGGAAGCAGAATACGGCCTGATTGTGGAGACTTAGTAGGAAAAGAAGTAAAACGATGCCACTCAGACTACATTATGATTACCCATTGTATTTCACTTTTCTAATGGTAGCCACGGGGAAGTTTAAGGCAGGTGTGATAGTACTCTTGCACATGCTGGACTATGGGAGATGGTGCCAGGCCTTTACCCCCGTTCCCAGGGCAGGTCCAGCTCTCCCATGGGCCTGGCTGCTGCAGAGACAGAGAGGAGAGGAAAGCCCACATTCCTGGGCTGCGAGGTTTCCTTGTCCCCAGGTTCAGGTGCATGACAACTCTGAACGTACATACTGCCATCTGCCCATTTTATAGACTCAGATTGAGGCTTCTCAGAATGAATCAACTTGCCAAGTCACAGACTCTCTCCACCCCAGTGGCCAGCCTGAGCTCCTGCTCTACCACCAAGCCACACTGTCCCACCCACCGTTGGCCTCTTGCAAACAGGGATAGGCTGAGGGTAGACAGCAGTGTGGGTATCTCTGAGGGCGTCCCACCTTGGTGTCCAAGGCAGGATTCCCTTCGTGGTCTGCCAAGGAAGATTGTTCACCCTCAGTTTTCATGCCGGAGTGCTCGTTTCTGAGCCGTGCATTTCAGTATCGAGGCAGAGTCTGCACCAAGAGGCTGCCACACCCCACCCATGGCCCTGCATCTGGTAGGTCTTCAATAGACACGGCACGAAGAGATGATACCCTCAATCCTAGCACACAGTAGATCTGCAACTGACACGGTATACGGGATAGCCATCCACCATAGCCCTGGCACATAGGGGGTCACCAAGTGGCATGGTATGAAGGAATGACCTGCAACCACAGCCCTGGCACACAGTAGGTCTTCCACTGATGTGGCATGAAGGAAAGGGGCCAGGGCCATTCTCCATCTTGGAAATGCCTCCTTTCATTAAGTTTCCTGCAAGAATAGCACTCAGTGTAGCTGGTGGGGACCCAGGCACAGCTGCAGGTGGAGTGCAGGGGTCACACTGGGCACTCTCTCTAGGGTGGGCTGGTGTGCCCATCCCAGGCCCTTCCAGGGTGTGCATCTATGGAAGAGGTGGACAGAATCCAGCAGGAGATGGTGGAGGTCAGGACAGCAGTGCTTCTCAGACTTATAGAGAGGACCAGCGGTGTTTTAGATATCTCGTGACTTAAAAAATACAACAAATAAAAATAAAACAAGAGAGCAGGAGCCACGTTACTCAGCAAATGCATGCTTTTACTGCACACATTCTCTGACGCGCACATCTCATGGAAGTCTTTTGCTTAACAGGAGGGATCATGACTTTGGGGGCAAAATCGTGCTACTTTTGGCCACAGAGACGGGTGGCCCCCTCTGTGTGCAGTGGTAACCCCTAAGCCACGTGTGCGCGGCCCATCCCACCTGCCTCCATGCACAGTGGGCAGTGGTCCTGCCTGGGACCCTCTCGACTAAGTCCTGCGATGCTCCGTGCACCTGGACAGCTCATGGGGGCCTCTGGATGACAGGGTTCCAGCAGTTCGTCCTTCTTATGTGCCCATTCCCAGGGGACAACGCTGCCCCTAATGCTGAACTGTCCTTCCACCTGGATCCTGGGGGTCAGGGCTCAGGATCACCAAGCAGGCAGCCGGCTCCTGCCCCGTCCGTCTGTATCAGCTCAGGTCCTTGGTAACAGGAAGGGTCCTGCCCACCTTTCGGGTTCCTCAGGGCTTCCTGACAAAGTCCCGCCTATCACCACATGAGTTAACCGGTAGCCTCTCTCCTCAGTCACCAAAGCTGGCAGAGCTTCCTAGAAACTAAGCCCAATGGATGCCTTTGTTACAGGACAAAGATGTGCTTCCTTTGAGATAACAGAACACACACACACACCCACACATGTGTGTGTGGACGCACACAGTATGCATGTGCATACATTCGTGCCTTTACATGGACACGCATGGGAGTCCAGCTTGTACACACATATCAAATAGCCCCACGTAGAAATTTAGTAAACTGAGAACACTTCTCTAGAGACTGGCATCTGTGGGGCTAGAATAGGAAACTTTTTTTTTTTAATCACACATTGTCTCACTCTTTTTGAATTTTAGACCATGTAAATGAATTATTATATAGTAAATAATTTTTCATGTTTTTTTGCTTTGGGGGGGTTGGAGAAAATTAAGAAGTATGCAGGAGGGTTTCAGGACAGAGTCCTGGTTGCCAAGCCTCCTGCACTCCTGAAGTACTCCTACAAACTCATCTCTCCACCCCTGTGCTGTAAGCCACCCCCCGCCGCCCTGGGGTGCCACATGACCCCCAGCCCTGCTGAGGAAGCAAGCAGAGTGTCAAGCAAGCAGTGGCCCACCCTGCCTGCCCGCTCTGTTCCCAGGCCTCTGGTCCCCAGGGCCTTCTCCGCCCCATGAGGCTGCTGTCCAGGCTGGGTGAAGGCCGACCTGCCTCAGGGCCACAGCCTGCCACTGCGGAGCCACAGCCAGCCCTGGAATCTCAAAAATGTCCTGTGGTCAGGCCTGAGCCTGGTTAGTGACTCAGCAGAAAGG